ATTTGCGCCATCTCCGCATACCTACGTTAATGCAAAAAATTTCGCTGGAATCCCGGTGTAGCGGGATAAAGATGGAATATAAATGACGCGCAGATATACGCGCGATTAATCTGGTGCAAATTTCCGGGTCAAATTTTTCAGCGAATCGCGGCAGCTGCGAATACCTAAATAAAGCCGAAATCTCTTAAACTGTACTATAAGGCCGCAGAAATTCAATCGACAGTGATGGACACGTCCGTGTACGGCCGATAAATCACTGTTTGTAGATATTCGTGCAAAGCCCATAAATCGTAATCCTTCCGCGTTTGAATACGTTTCTCTCGATCTCTTGCGACTGATATATGAATAGTTATTATGAATGCGTTATCCCATATCTTCCTCTCTTTACCTAAAGTAAGATAACAAAATTTTTTTATTTCGGTTTGTTCCCGCGTGTTTTTTGGACAAGCATAATTAAAAAAAAAGAAATGGAACATGAAAGATAGGGAATTTTAAAAATATCGAAAGGCTGAAATAAATTGGACGACGTGATAGATCGGCAAACAAAGGAAATTTTAAGTCTATTAGAAAGAAAAATTAAGCCTCCAACAGGAAGTTTGCTGAATTATGTTCGTTCCGAGATGTCTAAGAAGGAGGAAATAGTATCTCTGTCTTTATTTTCCTTTCTTTTTCTCTTTTTCTTTCAAATGTACAGAGTGTTTCTGAATAAGCAAAAACTTTAGGAAATAATTCTTCGAAAATTAAGGTGGTTTTTTATATAAATATACACTCCCTATAAAAATTAGATTTTTAAGTTAAAAAAATAAATATATATTTATTTTATTTATGTCAATAAATTAATTATTTGTACACCTAAATAATTTGCTCGTTTTTAAGTTGGCCTGTTTATGTACGTTCTACTTTATTTAATTTTATACGAGCTGTAAATTTTTATTTACTAATTTTTTATTTTTTATTAATTTAAAAAAATAAAATTTGCTCGATATTTTTCACTTAGTAAAAAATATTTATTAATAATTTTTTTTATTTTCTCATATCGTTATAAGGGGATGAAACTAACAGCTTTTATTATATTATACAATTTTTAGTAGAACCTTTTAACCAACCGGAACGTGATTATCTAAAAATATGCTTTACAAAACTTGATTCACTTAGAAACTTTTTTATTTTTTTTATTTCTTTCGTAAAATCAATAGTTGTCAAGGAAAAAAGTAAAAATCTAATTTTTATCTTCCCTTTTGAAAAAAATGTAATTCCTCAAGGAGAAATATCAAAGTATATGTTTACAAAAAAACCCTCTTAATTTATGACAAAATATCATCTAAAATGTTTCGCACTTATTTAGAAACATCCTGTATAATATTTATCCTTCTTTCAATTTACATTCTCACCGTATAATAAGTAATAAGATCTTTTAGAAAAACTATATTACATGCTAAATCAATAATTTGCCTTTTGAGGATTAAACGGCAAAAAATGGAGTTTATTTTTCTTTCATGTCGTGATTTTTCCCACATATTACAATGGTGTTAGTCTGAGAGACTCTCTATGTAGCTTAATATCGCTAATGTAAAACGCGAGTCTTTCTCTCTCGCAACGTTTTTACGATTCAATCCGGTATGTCGACGTTAACGACACACAACCGCTTTCGCAAAAGTCACGAGTAACGAGGAATGTATTTCGAGTAAGAGAGAAAAAAAGAGCGCAATCCATTCTTTGTAACTTTTGTACAAAGTGCGGAGATGGATTTCCCCTTTCCAAGAAACATTTTGAAGCAGAGTAAACGAATGAAGAGTCATCCTATAATATCCGAGTTGAGAGCGGCTAAACAAACTTCTCACACATGCCAGAAGAAATGGAAAGAAACTGTAATGCGATTCCCCCCGACGTTTGCTCCATTATATTCTGCACTTAGACGTAATATTTATACAGCTTCAGCTATCCGATTCTTACTGAAGCGATTTACTGCGTATATATCTCGTGCGTTCGCTGAAACTAAATCTTTCTTCTCTTTTAGGATATTAATTGTCATACTAAAATAATTATATTCTCATTTGAAGGATATCATATTTATTTTTTAAATATCCTGTTTCTAAAATAAACGCCAAAAGAATTCTCTTATCTTAAGAGGAAAATTCCCTAAAGACTTAGTATCAGACATTCTTAATTTATAAAAATGTAGACAAGTGGGATTTTTATGTTTTCACATGAACAAAAGAGTTCATTATATTTTACAGTCCATAAAAAACAGATATCTCAGATAGCACCATTTTCAAAATGCACTAATAAGACATCCATTAATAAATCTTTAAGACGCCTTTAAGAAATCTTATATGATATCTTAAAGACATCTTAAAAACATCTTAAAGATGTCTTATGGGTGCATTTTGCACATGATGCTATCTGGAATATTATATATAGAATCAGTACAAGGCATGATACTAGGATAAACTATTAAATTAGGTTATATTAGATTACACGTCAACTTATCCGTGAAATAACACTTTCACTTCTTATAAATCGCTCGCATCTTCTTTTTGCGAAGCAATTAATTTATTAACTTTCTCCATTCTTCTAATAAACTACAACCAGCATTATAAGTTGCAACAGGATATCCAGTAATAATCATCCTACTTATCATGTGCAGGCAGAGCGGGTTAAACCGAGTAGGAAAGTTCTCTACCATTTTGCAATCTTCGCAATAATTAATGAGAAATTAATTGAAAAAGATCGGCCCCCAACAGCCCACATAAAAACCATTAAAATTCCTAGACATATGTATTATCCAATATAGAATTAATACAAGGCATGAAACTAAGATCCTGAACAGTTAAATTAGGTTATGTTAGATTACACGTTACTTATTCGTGAAACACTTCTCTTAAATCGCTCGCATCTTCTTTTTGCGAAACAATTAACTTATTACCTTTATCCATTCTTCTAATAATATAAACCAGCATTATAAGTTGCAACAGGATATCCAGTAATAATCATCTTACTTATCATGTGCAGGCAGAGCGGGTTAAACCGAGTAGAAAAACTTTCTACCATTTTGCAATCTTCGCAATAATTAATGAGAAATTAATTGAAAAAGATCGGCCCCCAACAGCCCACATAAAAACCATTAAAATTCCTAGACATATGTATTATCCAATATAGAATTAATACAAGGCATGAAACTAAGATCCTGAACAGTGAAATTAGGTTATGTTAGATTACACGTTACTTATTCGTGAAACACTTCTCTTAAATCGCTCGCATCTTCTTTTTGCGAAACAATTAACTTATTACCTTTATCCATTCTTCTAATAAATTAAAACCAGCATTATAAGTTGCAACAGGATATCCAGTAATAATCATCCTACTTATCATGTGCAGGCAGAGCGGGTTAAACCGAGTAGGAAAGTTCTCTACCATTTTGCAATCTTCGCAATAATTAATGAGAAATTACATGAAAAAGATCGGCCCCCAACAGCCCACACAAAAACCATTAAAATTCCTAGACATATCCCAGATAGCACCATGTCCAAAATGCACCCATAAGACATCTTTAAGATGTTTTCAAGATGTCTTTGGGATATCATATCATAAGATTTCTTAAAGATGTCTTAAAGATTTCTTAATGATGACTTATGCGTGCATTTTAGACATGGTGCTATCTGGGATGTATTATCTAATATAGAATTAATACAAGGCATGAAACTAAGATCCTGAACAGTTAAATTAGGTTATGTTAGATTACACGTTACTTATTTGTGAAACACTTCTCTTAAATCGCTCGCATCTTCTTTTTGCGAAACAATTAACTTATTACCTTTATCCATTCTTCTAATAAATTAAAACCAGCATTATAAGTTGCAACAGAATATCCAGTAATAATCATCCTACTTATCATGTGCAGGCAGAGCGGGTTAAACCGAGTAGAAAAACTTTCTACCATTTTGCAATCTTCGCAATAATTAATGAGAAATTAATTGAAAAAGATCGACCAATCCGCGCGAGGATAAGCGCGCGACGAAAAGCCCGATGTTACTATGCGTGCGACAAAGTGTTGGGATTAATAATCAAGTTTAATTATGTACTGCGCCTAGCATCCGTGTAACGGTGGGATGTCGCTTATATTCGCGCGGATTGGTCGATCTTTTTAATTAATTTCTCATTAATTATTGCGAAAATCGCAAAACGATAAAGGACTTTCCTACTCGGTTTAACCTGCTTTACCCGCACATCGGATTATCATCAGACATTTTGTATAATCATATATACATTGCTGCCATATCACCATATTACGTCAACTGTTCGTATATAAAAAACTGTTTATTACTATCAAGGAATATATTCTTAATTTTAGAGGATACGCTTTAATACGACAATACAATTTTTTTGATGCAATTAATATAGATATTAATTCTCTCCCTTTTAACAAGAATTTCAACAATAATTTAACAGTTCCGAATGGGATACATTTTTGCTTAACGAGGAACAAAAGGGAAAGAGATAAATAATAAAAAATTAATATTAATAAAAAGAGACGCAATAAATAATAACAGACTTTAATATTAAAGTATTATATAATGATAAAAAATTAATATTAATAATAATAATAATATAAATCCTAAATCACAAGAAGGCGTAAAGAGCCAAACGCGGATGTTGAAAATAAACCGTGCACAAGGCAACGTATTATTCTCGGTGTACTAACCAAGACTTGAAAATTGAAATAATCTCTTACTTGAAATTCTAATTTGAATAATAATAATAATAATAATTTAGAATTAATAATTTATTTTAATATTTGCAGTACGCGAAATACAAGATTGCGAGAGCTCTTTAATTCGATCGCGTGTATCTTTGGAATCGCGCGATAAAGCAATTTATTTCTTGATTACATTTTCGTCGAGCACGTTATCGATATTGGGAGCCTCGATTCCGCGAGCCCGATTACGCGAGAGAGATTCTATAAATTGCCATTAAAATCACCGCGTGTCTGTTATTTCCAGGTAGCGGCGAGCCGTGGCTGAAAAGCGAAAAGTACGTCGAACTCGATACGGAAGCTCTGTTGCCCTGCGTCCTGAAATCACCGCAATGCGAGGGTCTGCACAGCATCAAGTGGTACCGCGGACCCACGAGGATTTTCATTTTCAGCGAGGACGCCGGAATTATACGCGGCAGTAACGACATCGCTGCCAGGTAATTAAAGTATTACATTGACTGTGAATGCATAATGGCAAGCGATGCTTTCCGCTCGCGAACTTGAGTTAATTGAGCGACTCTCTCTCTCTCTCTCTCTTGCATATTTTAAAGAAAGCGGGATGATAAATTTCTCGATATGCTTCGTCTGTGGCGCGCGTTGCGATATGAATTTATCAAAATTACCTTCCAGTACCTACATTATCATTGTAATGCAAAACTAAAAGCGAATAAAAAAATGCAAGTAAAAAAATTTTTAGTTTTTTGTTTCTATTTTTTTATATATTTACTGAAGGTAGCCCAAAGTGGGATCAAAACTATATATAGTTTTAAACTGATGAATAATAAAGAAATAAATTTAATTGACCAATACTAGCACAAATTGGTCGATTAAATTTACTTTTTGATTTTTTTACTAGCGATTTAAAAATTTAACTACTAATAAATATAATGTCTAAACTTATTTAAAATTTTTTTTACTTATTCTTTATTTTACATTTGATTCTTAAATAAAATTAAATAAAATTAATAAATAATTAAATAAAAATAAAATAAATTAAATAATAGAAATAATTTGATTTCAGCTTATTATTTATAGATTGTTTCATAAATTTCAAAATTTGTACACAATTTTTACCATAATGCTCATTTAGAGAATGTAATTTTATAGAAGTCTAGAAAATTTCTGAAGGTATTACATATTATCTCCTCGTTAAAATTCCCGGAATTTCTTTCCTTTTCTCCAAACGGCGTTAAAAGTACTATAACAGTACTATTTATGCGATTTAGCGACGCGTTATTTTTTTTAACTGTTTATCGCGCGGTTTTGGTACCTTTAGCGTTTCCACAGAATTGTAACTATCACGATTATGTCCAGATTCATCACCCTGTAATTGCGTTTTGTGGTTTACACTGTCTATATTTGGGAAAGTCGACTGTGAGCCTTGCAGTTTCAATGTGTGCTGCTTGTTAAACAAATATGTTACCTAACTTGCATATTTCGAGCGTGAAGAACTTTCACGATTTTGGAAACTATCACAAACACTCAATAATGTCCGATTAGCCATTATCTCGACAATTGATTCGTTATTATTTACTTTAGCACACGAAATCATTGTCACGTCGTATTTATCGACACACTGTGAACATGCTTTCAAAATACGTGTAAATGCGGATACAGCAATAAACAAAGAATTAATAAATTAATTTATATTACTGTCAGAATATAATTAAATACACAATTTAATATTAATTTAATAACGAGGCAAAGTTTTATACTATAGTATAGAATTATAATTCTATATTACATATATTGTGCATTATAATTCTAGTCTATTATTATAAGTTATAATTCTAATTGTTATATAATGTTTCAAAATATAATGTACAATAGAATGCTTAAGAAAAGTTATTAATAACAAAAATAATTTAATTAATTATTTAACGTTGAGAAAAATCTGTAAAATAAACACGAAAATAATAAATATAATAATAATAATATAATATTGAATAAAAATAGTAATAAAAAACATATTGACTAATCTTTAATCAATTACATTGACATCAGCCAAATCATTATTTAAATTTTCTTATGGATTCATTTTTTCTTAGTTTTAATTAATGAAATGTTTACTATAAAAATTTAAAATAGAATCTTTATAATAGCCATATGTCAATCCAAACTTTGTTTTAGTTTATTTATAATAATCGTTTTTTTTACTACTATTTATATTTAATATTATTATTATTTACTTCTAATCAAACTTTAAGAATGTAAAAATATATGATTTAACAATGTAAGTATAATAAATTTATCAGTATTAAATTTTTAATTTCAATTTGAACTTTTGATTACATATTTCTTAAATGTATAGTTGAAAGAAAAATAGGAAAATTTCATCATTTACGTAATCAATGGGATTTTTCGCGCAAGCAACCTACTCGATTTAGTGACATGATTAACACCATCAACGGAAAAGCGTATCACAGATTAGCCGTTAATAGACGGAAGCTTCTATTCAATTAGCACCCTTCAACAGCCATTATCGTTCTTTCTTTTCCGCTTCGCGTGCATATTCTGGCTTGGCAACACTTGGTTTTTTTTTATTTTGTGGGGAACGAAAGTATTAGCGGCAACAACAGTTTTCACGTAAGAGAGGAAGAAAGAGAGAATAAAAAAATTCCGACAATATACGGTAGAAAATATTCGTTATACACTTGTACACACGTGACTGCACTTTTTTGTGGGAACGAAAGTATTAGCAGCAACAATTGTTTTAACGTTCGGAGAGAGAATAAGAGAATTCCTACAATAACGCGAGAGAAAATATTCGGCATGCATTTCATTTGTTTGGCAGTATATGCACTCTCTATGTCGAAAAATAACGAAGTCATTTGCAGTGATATAAAGAGAAGGCGGTTGACGAGTGTATAAATTTTTTTGCAATTTTTTTTAAATATAACCTTAATATTGTTATATGATTATTTGCTTTTTAATTTTTCAGTAAATCGTACGTGAAGTAGAAAATGAAGTTTTTATTCGCAGATTTGTACTTTTTATTCTCTTCCGAGAGATATGTTACTTTTGTTTAGTAAATTTATTCAATACATTTTCGGCAAATTTTTATTTAATATAAATAAATATTTAATAAATATTTAATAAATTATTTAATAAATTATGTAATAAATATTTATTATTTAATAAATAAATATTTAATAAATTTTATTTAATACATTTTTATTTAATTTTTTTTTACTTATGAGATAAAATATTTTATTGTCGATATATTATTTTATGCTATTGTATTCAAACTAATTTTCTCTAATTTCAACTACAGTTCAATACAATTTAATACAGTAATTTCACAGAAGCCTCGCTTCTCTATTTGCTATTATGGGCTCTTTGATACATTTTGCGGCAAAGATCTTTCATAGAGAAAGCGTTCTCTGTGACAAGCACTAAATTTCTGTTGCAACATATTCCCTCTAGGTCTCTCAAAGCCTTTAATGAAATGTTACAATGCAATGCTGGTATTGTCAAACGCGATATTTGAATTATAGCGCGTTTTGTGTAATTGGAAATAAATACTTGATTAAACTGACGTGTTACGTAAACAGTAAATAAATAATACTCTGGCTTTATCTATTCATTATGTAATTCTATTATAAATTAATGTTTATGTTAAATATTAATTTTATATGTATACTGTGTATTAAATATTAGTATATTATATTAATTACATTATATAGAATATTAATTAAGTATAACTTGCATATAAAATTTAATAATCTTGATTTTTTAAGATATACAATATACGTATTCATGTTATACAAAATACACAATAATTAAATTAATGTATTATAATAATTAAATTAATGTATATTCTATATAATTACATAATAATTAAATTAATGTATATTCTATATAATACAACATTGTAATACACATTTTTCTCTTGTTCGTGTATAAATATTATTATCGATAAAACTGTGTGGCTAAATAATTAATTATTACTTTTAAAAAATTATAAAATAGATATTGTAAAATTTATTTAAAGTTTTTGCTTGTTAGAGCAGAACGTTTAAGCTTTCCTTTTTATTCGCATAAATTTGTTTACTTTATATAGATTAATTGAGATAAAATCTGTTCCTGTACGTTGTTCGTTATAGAGAAGCTTAATATCCAGTAATTATATTCGTGAATTATATACATTTACACTTCATTTATTCCATCAGGCTTGTTATGTAGAAAAGTTATACATATATATATATATATATATGCAATAAACACAAACTCATGCGTAAAAATTTCCATTTAATTGCAATACCTCAATTTAGTGAATACTCCAGTTTAATGAAAGCGTAAAGCGCCTTTCATCAATTCGATTTCGTAGCAAATTATATATATAAAATGTATTTGTAATTTAAGATAAAATCGCAGTACGCATAAATTGTGGCACGCGTTCAAAGGAAAATTATTATTTTTTGTCGATATGAGTACCACAGTGTTTGCAATTATCTAAATAAATTTATACAGATGATCATCTAGATGACACTTTGGCGTCATCTTATCTTTATATAAATAATAAAAATATGTATTATCTGCATCTTAGATTTAAAAAAAATATCATTTTCACTAAATTATCTAAAATAATTTTGGTTTAGAATTATATAAAAATATTACTTAAATAGTAGAATTTAAGGAGTAAGCGATAAAAATTTATAAATAAAAATATGGGTATATTTTTATATACCTTTATTTATAATTTACATTTTTTATAATTGTGTTTACATAAGCGATTTAAAAATTATTGTCTAGATGAATCGCCATATATAATTTTATCTTTTATCTATATATATTTAATATATAAAATCATCTTTGAACTTACACATTTTAATCTCATCTTTATCTAGTTAATTTTAAATCATCTAAGCACAACACTGACCGTAGTAGTATAATAGAATATATCGTAAAAAAATTATATACTGGTGAAATACACAATATGGCATCGTTAGATCTTTGTCAATAAATAATAAAAAATAAAATAAAATAATTCGACTCACATTTCGACTATTCTTCTTCTCGGCGTATTCTGAATTCCTCGTCGGCCTCATTTTTTCTGTAAAAAACCAACCTCTGTCCTTGTAGAAAAAGTTTCGAAACACTTGCAGTCGCGTTACTTTTCACATTTTCGACGCGTTCCGGTATGAAATACGAGAACAAGAATCGAGAGAGCTTATTCGCGCGCGAATAAAACCTAACCTAACCATCAAAGATATAACAATAACAGTATGGCGGCACGATTCTTGTCGCAGTCGACCAGCGATTTTCACGAAAATTACGAGCCTAGTTTATTGCATAACAATACTTCGATATTGAGCAATCAGGAGAAAGAGATTCTCAAATTTTGCACTTTGACGAACGGATTTTTGAATACAACATTGAAGTTTTTTTACGACGTAATATTTATAATATATGGCGCCGTTTACGAACCGCTTGA